GCGGCGCCCCCGCGCGGCCCCCGCCGCCCCGCGCGCCCTGCTGCTGCACCTGCCGGCCTTCGGGCGCGACCTGTACCTGCAGCTGCGCCGCGACCTGCGCTTCCTATCCCGCGGCTTCGAGGTGGAGGAGGCGGACACCGCCGGGCGCAGAGGACGCCCCGCAGAGCTGTGCTTCTACTCAGGCCGCGTGCTCGGCCACCCCGGCTCCCTCGTCTCGCTCAGCGCCTGCGGCGCCCACGGCGGCCTGGTACTGCCCGCGCCCCCTCCGGGTCGGCCTGTCGGGTCTGTTGCGGCGCCCGGGGGTGGTCCTCGCGGGGGGGCAGGGGTGGGGCGCCTTGGCGGGAAGTCCAGCTCTGGGAGAGGCAGAGGGAACCCACTGCCTCCGCACGTCCCTCACCTCTATCCCTCGGACGGTCTGTGAGTGAAGGATGTTGGACGGGAAGCGTCCGATTGTCCAGGGCCTTCCACCTGCTGTACTGAGCCTCTGCGGGCGTGGGAGCCTGCGGGGAGCTGGGTTGCATAGGGGAATTCGCCGCAGCCCACCCAGCGGAGCACAGGTGTAGCAGGGGTGAAACTGTCAGGCCCCTAAGAGAGGCACCCTTCGTCCAGGTGTAGAGAGAACACTGCGTCTGCGCGGGTGTGCATGTGTGCGTGTCATGGGGACACTTATATGTGTATGTCTTATCTATTCTTCCATGGGAGGGCGTGAGCATTCACTTCCCTTGTGGTTTTTTGGGTCTTCTTTCTGTACCTGGAAAAGGAGGTTTGGAGGGGTCTTCAGACTCTTCTTGGTTGAAGTGTGAGAAGCAGTAGGGGAGAAAGGGTATTCGTATCCCTGTTTCCTTGTACCATTAGCCAGGCCTGAGGGGTGCTTCCACTGGCGGTAAGAACCTATCCGTGCCCGCAGAAGCTCTCTTGCTGTGGTAGTAACTCCCCTGTCCCCAAAACCCCATCTGCTGTACTTGAGGCACCTGTGACAGGTACTCTCTTTTGTGTGCCTTTGCCCTGCCTGTGCTCACACTTGATCACTTGGCTGCACTGGTGCCCAGACAGACACTTCTCAGGTTCTCCACCGCACCCCGGAAGGAGTGCACATGGCTGGCAGATGGGCTGGCCTCAGCAAAGCCTGGTGTCGTCTCAGAGCATGAAACACATGGGCTGTTTCTCTATCTCTTTTGTCACGACCGCCCCCCCCCCGCCCGCTCCCCCCCCCCCCCCCCCCCCCC